CCTGTGAGAATGCGTGAGGTCACCCTGCAGCGGTGGGTGGTGGTGCTGGTTGCTGGTGCATCTCCTCTGTCTCGGGGGGGTGGGGCTGAAGGTGGGGTGGGGTTTACGTAAACACCCCTGTTGTTTGCCTGAAACAAAGCCAGCGGGGACATTGTGGAGGCGAGGGGGCTACTCTGCTGCGTTCCTGCTATTGCCATCATTCGTAGGTGCCATGAGAGTCTGTTTCTACCCCGAGTACACCGGCACAGAACACTGCCCGGTTGTGTTAGTCTGCGTAGTCTGTGTGACTAGACACTCGTGTGTGTAAGAAAGGGCTTTCTATCACAGAGTAATTGTATATTAAGAAAACATCCCTCCCCAAACAAACAAAAAAAAAACACACAAAATAAACAAAAATGGAAAACAGCCCAGTCTAGATCAAGTCCATAAGTCCCATATTAGCACCTATGTATGATACCAGTCTATAAATTCCTCTTCAGACTCATGCAATACATGCAAAGACGCGCAGTCCAGAAAGATCACAGGCCAGTGGGCGGAAAGTCTTGTGGATCCAGTGGTGGTGGAAGCATCTCAGCGTTGGTGTGGGTCTCCACGTGGCACCTCCAGCTCCAGGGCTCTGGCTCCATCGGCATAACTCCATATGCCTTGTCAACAGGAATGTCTCCTAGGGAGAGTGTGTGTTTTGCCTCCAAAGAGGAAGAAGAATTTCCCAGAACCCTCAGGTGAAGTTCATGCCCACACAGAGGCCTGATTGGCTGTGGCCTGATTGACAGGCTAGCCTCCATTCCTTCGCCCCAGTTGACAGGACATGATGCAACTGCCACACGTCCTGTGCCACCTCTCCACTGTTACCACGGTCTCAGCCCCTGCACCACCCATCTCACGTGCTGCCTTCCTCTCCGCCCTGACCCTCTGCTTCCCAAACAGACTGCCCTTCTCCAGGGACTGATGTCTCCTGCATTTAGTGCCTTCCTAGAATTGTACCAGAATGCCACACTGCCCAGTCCTGCACCATGTCTGTGGTCAGCATGCTGTGTGAGCCCCTTGTTGTGCCTGCTGTGAAAAGCCTTCGTACCCAGGGCCCTGTCTTCTGGCACCATGTCAGGTGATCTCCACCGTGGTCACTGGAGGTTCACTGGCTCAGTCTTAAGAATCTGATTACCAAGCCTTTCTTCTGGGTCTGTAAGAGTCTGGTGACCCTGCTGGTCTGTGAACTGGCAACGGCTGGGCCAACAAAGTTCTTATATCCTAGAGGCTTCACCACGGCCCAGGGGCAATTCCACTACCCTTTCTTTCTTCTTTTTTTCAGTTAAAAGATCATTTTATTGGGGGCGCTTAGAATATCCATACATCAATTGTATCAAGCATATTTGTACATACATTGCCATCATTTTCTAAACATTTACTTTCTATTTGAATCCTTGGTATCAGGTCCTCTTTTTTCCCTCCCTCTCCCCCTCCTACCCTCGTGACCCCTTGATAAGTTATAAATTATTATTTTCATATCTTACACCCGATCGCGGTCTCCCTGCCCCCATGGTTTCTGTTTTTTGTCTCCCTGGGGTGTGGGGGGTGGTTATGTGTGGCTCATCGTGATGGGTTCCCCCTTCCTCCCTGCACTGCCTACCTTCCCCCCCTACCCTGCTGGTATTGATACTCCCATTCCTGTTCCTGGATTCCGTGTGTCCTGAGCTCGTGTCTGTCCCTGTGTACATGCCCTGGGCTAGCCCGCAGAGAGAGGCAGCACTGGGTCATGACAGTGGGGGGTGAGGAAGCCTCAAGGAACCAGAGACCATTGTTTCAGGGGTGCTTGACTCGACTGCTGCCTTTCATTCCCTCTCTCCCCAATGATTTTTGGAAGCACCCTTGTCTTGCGTATCCACTGTTCTGTTATCTCGTGAGAGGGGTACAGAAAACTGCCCCCACGGTGTACCTGCTGAGGGGGTTAGCTGCACGCCTTGTCTCTGGGTCACCTCAGAGCCACTCTGCCACGTGGCCTGGTGGTCCCATCACAGCTTGCTCAGAAGGGCAGAGGGGAAGCCGAGGGACCACGGTCAGCTGCTAGCAAGAGAGAAGACGGGATTCGAACCCAGGATGCCCTGACTTCCTTGTCGGATGCATTTCCTACCAGCAGAGAGCTAACGTCTGCAGAAGGGGGCCCCCTCCGGCCGGGATGTGGGATCTTGTCTCTCCCACGAGTTTTGCAGGTGTACGTGGGGGTCCCGTGGTCTGCACCTGTGTTTAGAGAGAGGAGGTCCCGGTGGCCCCGAGGTGAAGGTGCTCCGTGTGAATGCCTCCGCTGCCCGCTCGGAGGGAGAAAGGTGGGGCCAGTGGCACCCGTCTAGAGGAGGATGTTGGAAACCCTATGAGGCAGTTTTACGTTGTCTAGTCGGGTAGGACGAGTTGGCATGGCCTCAGAGCAGTGGGTTTGTTTTGGTGTTCGAAGGGAGCCTCTAGCTGTCTGTCTGTCTGTCTGTCGTCTGTCTTTGGCCCTCCGTGAGGTCACAGGGAGCCACCAGCCAGCCTTCCCTTCTGCCTCCCCCTCTTCGGCAGAGTGCAGTGCAGTCATCTCCCTTGGCACTTGAGGGGGTGCGGTGGGGGCGAGCTGCCTGTGCCCCCCCGTTCTCTCAGCGCCACGGTCCCCTCTCCCGTCACAGCTCCCCGTTCAGGGGCAGAAATAGCGCCAACTGCGAGGTGCGGGTCCAGAGTGTCAAATCGCACTCGGTGCTTATTTATGCGCCAACTGGAAAGATGCGCTTTGTGCCGCCGTTTGTTTTGCCGTGGCGGTGATGGCGGACCACGGGCCTGGCATGAGTGGCTCTCCGGGGGGACGCAGGGGTGAGGGCAAGCTCGGGTGATGTGTTGGGGTGGCCACTGGGCCTGTCCAGAAATGCCTGGGACCGCCTACGTGGCCTGGGGCAGCCCGAGAAAGTGGTTCGTGTTCTTGATGAACATTAGCCGGCCTGCTAATGTAGAGAGAGCGGGGAGAGGGCTTGGTCTGTCACAGGTCCAGCAGGCACACATTCTTCAGGGAATGAATGGGGCCACTGACTTTATCAGATGTGGAAGCCCAACCGGGGTGAGTGTGGTTCTGTGGCACCGCGGGTCGGGTCGCTGAGTCTGAGGAACTCCACAGCCCCTGGCAACGACGACGATGACGAGTGGAGGCTGGCAGCCAGCGGGCAGGTCCTCACAGCCACCTTTTGCTTGCCCCCCTGGGCATTTGCTCTGTTTGGGTTGTCCTTTGTGTCAGTGTTTCGAACTCGGGACACAACTTGTTGCCTTAGAGTCTCCGGCATCCCTTGGAGAACGGACCGCTCTAGCAATTGTGCATTTCGGCGGGCCGACCGAGAACAACAAGCCGCACCGTCCAGCTTGCCCCAAACCCGGCTGGCCTGTGTCGCTCCTGTCTGCGATCGCCTGGCCCCGGCAAGTTGGGAGGGGAGGTAGTAACATATGCCATTCCCGCCCCCCTTGTCCAACCTCATGCCCCAATTCCAGCTCCCCTGAGCTTAGTGTCCGGTGGCACTGTCTGGTCCCCTCCGAGTCAGGGCAGCTCCACTGGGCGACGGTAGCACTGTCCGCAGGTTTGCTAGCATGTCCTCTTTTGGGAGCAGGTCCCCATCAAGGGGCCTTTCTTCTGCCGAGCCGCTGGGTGGGTTTGAACTGCCAGCCTTTTGGGCCACAACAACTCGCCACCAGGGCTCCCAGGGTCTCTAAAAACCAAAGCCAGTTCCGTGGGTGTCAAGCCTATGCCACACTCTCAATGGCCCTGTAGGGCAGGCTAGGGTCACCCCAGAGGGGCTCTACAACCCTTATCTTCATAGAAGAAGACTGCCACATCTCCCCCGCAGAGCGGTTGTGGGGCTCAAACCACTGACCTTTAGGCTGGCAGCCCAGTGCTGAACAACAGTCCACAGGGCTCTTTTCCCAGCCTCAGCTCCACAGCCAGGCGAGTCCAGCTCACAGTGGCCCTACTGGACAGGGGCGGGTTTCCAAGACTAACGCTTTACTGGAGTAGAAAACTTCATCTTTCTCCCTCGGAGCGGCTGTTGGTTTTGAACTGTTGACCTTGTGGTTAGCTCCTTTCCCTGGGTTTAGTAAGCACCTGTGATGGGGTGGCCACTTGAAGAGCAGGATGACCACTTTGATCCGCGTTTCAAGATGGATCCATTTCAAGAGTAATTCTTTAGTGTCACGGGATGAGCCGGTGCCTGGTTTGGTGCCATCTTTGTGGTCGCTCCTACGTGTCAGCTACCTGTGGTGGCTTCTGGCCTCGAGGCTCATCTTCCAGCTCTGCCCTGGACCCTCCTCTGTTGGGGTTCATAGGGCTTGCTTCCACTGGTCGCCAGGCCTTTCTTCCTAGTGTGTTTAAGTATGGAAGCTCCGCTGAAACCTATCTACGTGGGCCACCCTGCTGGTCTTTGAAGCAGCAGTGCATAGCTTCCAGCATCGTAGCCACGCTCCGACCACCTTGATCCTACAAACCGACAGACCAGGTCGGTGCTGAAGTGGAAGCCTGTCCCCTAACCGTTAACAGTTTGGTCGCCATTGTCCCAGGACTTCCTCTGCTGAAGGACATGCATTTTATTGTGGTTATAAAGATAGGTTTACTCCACATAGCCTGTGGCTGGCTCATCACAGTCTTCCTAGGAGTGGGCCTGGAGGCTGAGGGCTCATCCGCTGGGGGCAGCTTCCGGCCCCTCTGTGCTTGGTGTTCTCGACCATACAGAAGATGGATTTTCTCCCGGCAGCACCTAAACGTCTGTCCGGTCTGTTTTGAAGGCGGCATAAAGCGGGGACAGACTTTATGCCGCTCCTCTGGTGTGGCCCAGCCCTTGGCCGCCACTGCACATGAGGCCGCAGAGGTGCTGAAAAGGGGGAGGAGGTCTAGAAGGGACAGGGCCCATCATCCCAAGACTCAGTTCCTAAAAAAAGAAAGACGGGGTATCTGTCTCCCTGGAAACCAGGTGCTGATCTCCGGGATCTTGTCATTTCAGGTGCAGGAGGTGGAAGAGACCGTCGAGGGGATGCTGCTCCGGCTGGAGGAGTTCTGCAGGCTGACGGACATGGTGAGTGTGGGATCCCTGCCCACCCCCGCCCTGCCTGTCTCAAGTTCCCTGAGGAAGCCATTTTGGTAGTGTGTTAGCAACCAGGAATGGGGGAGCAGCTGGCAGTGAGGGGGAAACTGTGTTCACGCGCGCACACACACACACACACACATACACTCACACACTCACACACTCACATTTCCCCTTCCCTCCCGCCTCCTCCCCTCCCCGGCACACATTCTCTCCACCCCAAGTGCTTCCTGGGGCGGCCATCTTGGTAGCGTCCTCCCTTGAGATGGCTCTTATCCCACCGAGGAGCCCGGCGCGAGCCACCAGGTGGCACTCTCGGCACCAATGCGGGGAGCCGCTCGGCGCGGGGATGCTGGGACTATATTTAACTTTCCCCTGGCTCGGTGCAGTTCGCAGTGCAAACATGGAGACAGCAGGAAATGGCTCCAGGCCTCTGAGCCACGGGAGGCGCCTCTTGCCCACACTAGCCTGGGGCAGGATCGGGCATGGAGTTCTTTCCGGAATCCTGTTCCCTCGGCTTGTTGCCCCCTGCCCTGCCCCGTGGGCTGAAGCCCCCTTGGCTAGGCAGGCAAGGAGGTGGAAGACAGCCTCCTCAGAAGGCCTCACACGGCACAGCTTCCACCCAAAGGCTCTGGAAAGCTCCTTGCGACCCTTCTGTCGCAGTTGCTGCCAGTGAGGGCCTAGCAGGGCCCTTGGGGGCAGAGATGGAATTTTATGGGTGTTCTCAAGCGCCTTAAAGGCAAACCAGGGTTCCAAGCGGGGCCTCCTTCCTGAGAGACCCCAGGGGTGATTCCGCGTTGGGACCAGGCTCCGCCTTGCCCAGGAGGTCAGAGCTTGCCTGTCTGCGCCCAGTGGTTTCCATTTGTGCCTGAGCAACAGCCCAGGCCTCCAACCTGAGAGGTATTTGTGAGCGCCAAAGGAATCACAGACCACAGTCCTCGATGTTGGTTGAATATCCACTGTGTACCAAGCACAGTACGAAGAATGCTTTCTGCCTCTGATTTTCCCCTAGCATCAGCACCCCAGCATGGTGGCCGCCATGATAGTCCCCATTGACCCAGCAGGCCTTTGGGTGCCTGCTGTGGCCCAGCCTCTGGGGAGACAGCAGTGGACAATGAGGAGCGCTCCCCAGAGGATCGGTGTGGCTTTCCCCACCGAGAGCCAGCCTTTGAGTCTAGATGTGGGTCCAAGTGGGAGCAGAGAAGCTAGATAGACTCTCAATGGACTAGCCCATCTGTACTTCATCACCCTTCTCACGCCTAAGACCCTTGTGAGCTGGAGGGATCCCCCTCTGTCCCCCAGTCTGTTCGGGACACCAACTTGGGTACAGGACTTCCTAGCCGGCGCTGTCAGGGGGATGCTCTGAAGGCACAAAGGGAGCCCTGGTTGGAGGCATTACATTCTGCCTGGGAAATGGGCAGGCAGAGCAGGGCATGCCCGCCCACTTCCGGGCTTGAAGGAGGAACACACAGAATTCAGCAGACAAGGAGGGAGGGGACCCGGGCAGAGGGACCAGGCAGGGTTCTCTAGAGAAACAAAACCAGGACACTTGTGATTTTAGATAGATAGGTTTATACAGCGGGAAGGAATATAGCAGCTAATTAGTCCACACAGCAGCACAGAGGGCTCAGTTCAACTCACTTCCATGGAACAGTTACTATACTGGAAGTCCTTCAACTTACATGGGCTGCTGGGTCCAAGGTCAAGGAAGCAGACAGCGGAGTCCTCCCTTGGGCAAGGCAGGCAGAGTCTGCCCACAGTCAGCAACAGTCAGTAGCTCAGGAGCTTAGCAAAGCAGACCCTGGTGGGATATTGAACCCAGGCAATGCAAGGCGACAGGATCCACCAGCCTCAAGCTCCAGCGATGTATACGGCACCAGCAGCGGGCGAAGCAGGTCTCGAAGAAGCCTCAAGCTCGAACAACACAATCCAGGGTTGGTTTGGCCCACCGGGAGCGCAGCTCGCAGGTTGAAGCAGAGAAGTAGCTAAAGCAGAGAGCGAGGGTGGGGATGGGCGGGACTTGCAGAACCACTCATCTCTTTGCCCTCCAATCAAACTGCATCCTGATTAATCCTACACGTTCCTGTTGGCTAGGTTGTCACAATAAACCTAGCTATCACACCTACTGAAAGCGGCAACTTTTATTTATTTTTATCATTTTACTGAGGGGCTCGTACAACTCATCACAATCCATCCATCCATCCATCCATTGTGTCAAGCACATTCCGTACATTTGTTTGAAAGCGCAGAAGTAAAGCCAGACCAAGAGCGCCCCACATTTCAAGAAACGGACAAACTCTTTCTTGTGAAAGTGGACACCATTCCCGCGTGACCTGCAAGCCAAGGGTGCCCACGTTGCGAAGATGTGCTTGGTCTGCTCTGCTACTGCAGGAGGCTCCGTGGCACCCGGAGGCCCCTTGAGTTCGCAGTCCCTGCCTGGAGGCTTGCTTGGTTACCTAGGATCATGACGTCAGAAATACCCCAAATGGGTGGTTTTAGCAAAAACAAATCGAGGACGCCTGACGTCAGAATTCAGAGTGCCGCTGCTAGGGGAAGACTTTCTCTCTCCCTGAGTGCTTTGCGGAGAAAGGTCCCTGGTCCCTGTCACTCCTCAGCTTCCGTGTCTGGATTCCTTGACGGTCTCACGTGGCACCATGTGTCTCCCACCCCATCTGTGCTGCTGGCCTCTGGACCTGCTCAGTCTGAGATACGTGAGTGAGAGAAGCCAGGGTCACGCCGAGCTTCCGAGGAAGGCCTGCCGGGACTGGGAGAGGCACGAGGATGAGCGGCACTGTGCCTCGACGGGGCGGTGCGTGCAGACGGAAACCCACAGACAGATGGGTCACCTGAGACAGGCTCATCCCAACGAGCTCACAAAGAGAGCCCGCTCCCCAGCGGCTCTCACCTCAGGCGTAGGGTTAGGATTTACAACACGGATTCAGTGGAGCAGGGTACAGATGCTGTGTGCGGCTGCCACGTGTGCTGTAGGGACCCCTCTGCACCACAGCCACCAGCGTGCGGCCTTCTGCGTCTGACGTGTTATCCGGCGCTCCATAGAGAAGGACCCCGGTCATCCCAGGGCAGCTCCTCAGGACCACCGCTTCCCTTTCCAGCCCGGGGTCCCCGGAGGACGCCAGAGTGCTGCCAGCCCGTGGACCCCTCTGGCCACAGGGTCCCTGCCTTCATCCTCAGGAACCCTGGCTCACGGTGGCAGCGTGAGACCAGCCAGGCTCTGCCGCGCAGTCCAGGTGCAGCTGCTTCGTTTTGAATAGAACCCAGCGATTGGTCTTTGTGTCCAGCGTCCTCTGCGAGGCACCAAGGCAGCCGCCAGCGAGCAGGTCCTTGGTCACTCTCTCTGATGGGGGCTCACAACCCTGGTCCTGGGCGCTGCTGGGACTTCATCCTCGTTGTGAGCTGCCACTGAGCGGGTTGCAGCTCATGGGGACCCCACATGTGCAGAGGCGAGCGGCTCCGAAGGTTTCCCAGGCCGGCGCCTTACATAGCACACCTCCAGGCCGTGAATGGTTTGAACCATTCACCTTTCAGTGGACGAGATTTTTACCATTTGTGGCAGTTATATAATCTCCTGTCAACTTGTGAAGGGGTGGAGTCTTGCCTGTCAATCAGGCCATAGCCAATGAGGCCTCTATGCAGACATGGCCTTCTCCTGAGGATTCTGGGAACTCCTGTCTTCCTCCCTGGGAGCAGGACACACTCTTTGCTTCTTCCTGATGACAAGCCACATGGAGCTACCCTGATGCAGCCAGAGCCCTAGAGATGGAGGAACCATGTGGAAACCTTTGCCAGTGCTGAGCTGCTTCCACCACCACTGGATCCACAAGATTTCCCATCCACTGGCCTGTGATCTTCCTTCATTCAGTGTCATTGCATGGCTGCATGAGTCTAAAGAGGAATGTATGGGATACTATCGACATATGGGGTAATATCGGACTTATGGACTTGATCTGGACTGGGCTGGAATGTTTTCTTAATGTACAATTGCTCTTGATATAAAGTTCTCTCTTAATACATGTGAGTGTCTCTGGGTTTGTTTCTCTGGTCAATCTAGACGAATACACTGTTTGTGCTCAGTTAAGTTCCTGTTCAGATCCTCCCCACTGGGGGGCCTAGGGTGCGTCATTCTACCTCTCTAAACCTTTATCTTTAACTGAAGAACGGACACAGTGGCTCGCTTATCTATTGCTACATCAAGCAAATCCACAATGTAGTGGTATAGAAAAGAGTCGTAAGGATTAAGGGCCCTACCTGAACGGCGGCATCCAGGACCCTGAGCCCAGAAGAACTAAGTGGTGCCCAACAGCCCCTGAGAGGAACCACAGAAGGATGAGCTGGGCAGAGTGGGAGAGAACCCCAAACCATGAGAAAGACCAGGCTGACTCACCACCTTGAGACTGTGGGGACCCTTGATGGCCCTTCGCCACCCAGCAGCAGACAAGCCTGCAAGGTGGACAGGAGCGCGGGTGAGGCGGGAATGGTCCGCCATCCCAGATACAAAGGGCAGCATCGTTTGCCCAAGGTTCCAGCTGGGAGGGGGGAGGGGAGGACGACAGGAGGTGAGAACGGGACATGCAGGAGGAAGCGAGGAGCCCCGTGACGTGGGGATGGCAGCCGGGGTCACACAACAGGAGGGGTCGGGACGGAGCGCAAAACCAGCCTACACACTCAACTTTCAGGCATATCACAACCGAAAATTTAAAAAGAATAGAAGGGGGAAAAATTGGTGATGTAGAGCAACAATCCATGTATTGTGTAGATGAAGATGGCCACCTGACTGTGTGATGCCCCTCCGGGATGTGCTAAATGCCAGGGACTGACCGAGGCACTGTTGGCGCTGCACCACGTGGCCCCCATGGGAGCAGAAATGTCTCAGGTGCTTCCTCCTCTCTGCTGGTAGAGTACCCAGACTTGGGGGGCTACTGTAATTGAGGACTGGTTAGCATGACCCTCTCTCCCGGCATCCTTTAAGCCTA